AACTCCTGGCTCTGTGGCTCTGGGCAAGTCACCTCCCTTCTCTGAGCCCCAATTGCCCATTTGTCAAAAGAAGATCATAATCCCAGTCCTCTTTCTTTGCTGGGTGGCCCTGGTCCAGCCTCTGCCTCTCTCTGAGCTTCTACTTTTCTTCTGACACTAAGTCCCTGACAAGGAAGGTCTTTGGAAATGGGGTGGTGGTCCCCAGGGTGGGGTGGGCTGGCTGCCGTACCTCCCACATGTGTCCTGAGATGGGGCAGTCAGCCCACGAGTGCTCCACACTGAGGCCCAGCTTCCCATTGGAGAAGACGATGAGGGTGAAGGATTTGTCATACCAGCTGCAGGCAGAGTTCAGAGTGGTCACCACAGGGGGCTAGGAGGGAACTTTGGGTGCTCTCGGAGGGACTTGTGGAGATTTTGGAGTGGGGAGACTTTTCTGGAATCAGGGCTGGTGTGGGGATCTCTAAGAGGGCAGGGTCTCCACTGGTGGCGCTGGATGGGCTCTGAGACCTGTCTAAGGTTTGAAGAGTTGAGGGATTTTGAGGGAATGTGCCACGTAAGGTGCAAGGCTTACGGGGTGCTGGGGAGGTTTCCCAGGGGCCGCACAAGTCAGTGATGCCTGGTGGGCATCCAGGAAGTTGTCTGGGGATCTCCGGCTCTGGGGTTTGGGGTCTCAGGGTTTGGAGTCCTGGTCATAGGGGTTCTCTGGGTTACAGATCCCCAGGTCTCAATGCGTTGAGTCTGGGGTCCTCAGATCAAGGGGGCCCTTGGACCTGGAGATGCCCCAGGTCTGGGACCCAGGGTCTGCTTGTCTAGTGCCCAGAGTCTTAGCTCCAAACACTGGGATCCCTGCAAGTCGGGGTGGGGTCCAAGTCTGGGGGCTGACCTACCGGTCGTGGCCGCTGCCAGCCAGCAGGGCGTGGGCGTAGGCATCCAAGGACGCAGCGGGGTCCTCCCTGGTGAGCCCCGCGGGCTCCGAGTCCAGTGACACAAAGAAAGCGGCCCCTTCCACAGCCTCCAGAGCATCCTCTGCCTGGCTCTTCAGGGACCTCCGCACCTGGGCCCACATGTCCCTATCGGGGGACGTGCCTGAGCCCTTCGCCCTGCTCAGCCTTCCCCGGGACCCCAGCCCTGCGCTTCCCTAAGTTCGGGTTGGCAGCTGGGCCTTGGGGCCCCCTGATCCCACCCTTACCTGGGGGCCGCAGTCAGGGCTGCCAGGTGCTCCTCGTGGGGGTGGGCGGGCGAGGGGTCGTCTAAGATTCGCTGAAACTGCTGCTCCAGGTCCCGTGGGGACAGCAGGCCGGTCTGGGAGTGGGTCCCCACACGGAAGAATCGGCCCCGGTGGAAGACGGCCACGTGTCGGCTGTCACGCAGGTGGCGGATGTGATCTTGGTGTCGCGTGGGCAGAAGTGTAGAGGGCAGGAAGGTCAAAAACATTATAAGAATAGGAGCAGCCTATTGTCCTGGCCGGTGGCCCAGTGGTTAGAGTGTCGGCTGCGCACAGAAGGGTTGCAGGTTCGAATTCCGGCCAAGGGCGGTGCCTGGGTTGCGGGTTCAATCCCGGCCCTGGCCCATGCAGGAAGCACCCAATCTGTGTGTCTGTTTCACATGGACATTTCTCTCTCTCTGCCCCCTCCCTCCCTTACACTCTCTCTAAAAAATCAGTGGGGGGAAATATACTCAAGTGAGGATTAAAAACAACAACGAAGAATAGCAACCACTCGCCGGGCACTTCCTGCGTGGCCTGCACTGTTCTAGGCACTTATTCCTCACCACCCTAGGTGTCCTTATGATCCCATTTTAGAGATGGGGCAACTGAGGCTCGGAGAGGGTGAGAACTTGCTCAAGGTCACACAGCTAAGGAGAGGGGGCTGGGATTCAACCCGGCCGGCTGGCTCCAGAGTGCACGCTCTTAGCGACAACACTGCTCCCCTCTGCCAGTCAGGAGGAGACAGGGGTCTCACCTTTCTGGACCCCAGGAACACGTGTGGTGTTGAATATCTTCTCATACTGGGCGGAGCATAAGGGCCGCATTCCCATCATCAACGTCTGCAGGAGACCATGGGCTTGGGAACTGCCCCCCAGGATCCACGTGGGCCCACGGCCACAGAACCGTGGCCTCTGTCCCAGCCCGAGGGGGTGGCCCTCTTACCGGCAGGATCTCCTGGCGGTTCAGGTGGTGGCGGTAAAGGAGTAGGGCGTGGACAGCGTTCCCTGCGCGAGCAGCCTGCACTGGCGTGGGCGTGACGTACAGGAAGTCCTGGGGGCAACGGAGGGGACAGCAAAACGCCTGGGGTCAGTTTGCCCCTGATGGGGACACTCACCCCCAAATACAGGTGCTGACCCCAGCAGAGGGGGATGGTGAGTTCCAGGCTGTGCCTTGGGTCACTGGCCCTAAACCCCACGTTCTACTCAGACATCCCAATCCTTGACCCAGGGACTACGCACCCCACCTCTCCCCAGCTCCTAGCCCCCTTCTCCCCTTCTCACCATCATATAATAGTTGCTATTCACCATCAGCGAGTTTCGGGAGCGTAGGTACACAAATTCTTCCCACCAGTCACTGACCTGCGGGTGGGGCAGAGAGACACAAAGCTGGGGTGGCTGGGGCCAGCTCGGGGGGAGACTGTGGGGGGGTGGAGCCCAGCGAAGGAGGCCAGCATGACCAGTAACTACCAACGACCTAGAAGATACACTCATGCTATGGAATGCTAGGCAGCTGCTAAAAAGAACAAGGCACGTAGAGTGAGTACCAAGGTATGCTGCTGAGTGGCCAAGGCTGGGCATATAACAAGATATGTTTATCGATCTCATCCGAGAGTTTAATATATATATATATTTAAATACGTTTTTATTGATTTTTTAGAGGAGGGATGGGGGGTGGGGGAGATATGAGAGAGAAACATGGAATAGTTGCCTTCCATACGGACCCCAACTGGGGATTGAGCCTGCAACCAAGGCAAGTGCCCTTGGCTGGAATCAAACCCAGGACCCCTCAGTCCACCGCCCGATGCCCTAACCACTGAGTCAAACCGGCCAGGGCAAGAGAGTCTGGCTTTGAACGGGGAGCACCGAGGGAGCTCAAACTGTGGCAGATGACAGAGTGTTCAGAATACTGGAGAAACACAGGGGCTCTGAACAGGGGCATCCGGGGCTGGGTCTGTATCATTGGAGTGTGAGGGCGGGGCTCAGGAGGCTCGGCTGTTAGGGTCTCCAGTGACAGCAGGGCCTAGGCTTGTGGCGGGACGGGGGCAGGGCGTAAAGCTGGCCAGGTTAGGAGAGCAGGCTCAGAACTTTTGCCTTCCCGACGGGGAACTCACGTAATTGGACGCCCACCAGGATTTGAGCTGCAGGTGCCACTGCAGCAGCGACGCCTGCAGCCTGAGGAACTCCTGGGCTAGGGCCGCCGTCCAGTTGAAATCCTCGTCGGAAAGGACAGGCCGGACAGACTCCAGGTACTGAGGGAAGAGGCGGAGAAGCCGGCAGGCCCG